TCTTTTCCTCTAATTATTAATGTTTTCTTAAATAATATTTTTAACAAAAATGTTTACATGTGTATTACACCCTGCAATAATACTGGTTGCAAAATGTTAAATGGGCACAAGATGGCAGTGTTCTTCAGCTCAGTTGTGTAGACTCTGTTGAAGAAAAGCTTTGTTGGACTTGTAGGCTGATAGAAGGACTTTGCTGTTTAATAACCTGCAAACAAACTACATTTCCCAGAGGAACTGGCTAAGGGGTGAAGGCAGATGGGGTGAAGGCAGATAAATACAGAAGCCTGGGAACCAGAGGACAGGAAGTGAGTGGTGATAGCAGGTGTGAGGAGAAGGCTGCATGGGACACTGGAGATCCAGGCTGGGCCAGACCGCAGAGGGTGAAAAAGTGGGGAGGAATCGCAGACTACTGACACCACTGACATGCCAGGCTGACAATCCTGCAATTGCTGTCATCTGCATTGCTCTTTGATGGAGGAATCAAGGGAACACAGGGGCCCGCCTGCAGAGAGACTATCCGCTTTATGATCACGGCTACTGATCGGGTAAGAGGGCTCCATACTGAAATCATCTAAGTTTCAAGTAACATTGCTAAGTTCAGTTGCTTTCTTATCAGTTCAGCACACTTTGTTTTACAAGTTACTTGTGCTAAGGGCTCGGATTGCCTGGCCTATCCTGCCCTGTGGCCTACTGATTATTACACTCTCAACATCTTGAATCACAGGACTTTGCTGCAATATACTGTATACACCCTTCAGATCAAGTTACATTAGTGTTTCAGTTCCAGTCTGTTCTACTAATCAAGAAACTTTCCATATCACCCTAGTTGCCATCATTTAATGAGGAACTAGCCCCTGCTGAAGTCTGCTTCTGCCCCTTTCCACAATCTGTCACAATATAAGGTCAGGTTCAGAGACCAGTTGCTATAGCAGTAAAATGCTTACCTGAAACCAGCAGGATAGGTACACCAGCGGGTCCCCCTGGGAATGACGCAGGCTCACCTGAGGTGCGGGGTCTAAGTATTAACCAGTATTCACCAGAGCTCCTAATGGTGGAGATGGATTGGGCTGCGTGTTAATACCAGGTCACAGATCTCAGGATCACCCCACCAGGGAATGAGCAGACTGGGAACCAATAGAGGATCAACAGGTTAGGGATCAGACAAAAGCAGAGTCAGTCACAAGCCAAGGGTCGGTCAGAAATGGTAGCAGATCAATCATAGTAGATTAGTATGAGACGAAATCGTGGTCAGGAACAAGCCAAAGGTCGGTAGCGGAGGTGTAGACAGCAGCAGGACCAGTAGCGGGATATAGGCTGGAAAGGCACAATAATCTGGCAAGGAGGAAGTGCATGGACATGGCTTTTATAAGGAAGTTCATGGGAGGAGCAAGGAGTTCAAGGTTCAAGAGAAATCAAGGCACAAGGCAGGATTATCCAAGAATTGTCAAGGGAGCTGTCCAGCATTCCAGATAGCTCAGTGAGAAGAGACATTGCCTCTCACCGTGGAAGGACCAGGTTCGATCCCAGGCTCTGATACAATCTCACTCTAATCTCAGATTTTACTCTGTGTGTTAAAAACATATCAACCAAATTCAACATCACTTAAAGGAGAAGTTTGCCTTACTTTGCCTTTACACCAAGAAAGATTTAGACCCTCAGGTGCACCAACTAGAGCTCCATCAAGTGCGCAGAAAGTTGGACACCTCCGTGTTAAAGGAACAAAACAGACAAAAAGAGACTGATATATCTAATTAAAGAACCCCTTTTTAGGAGTTAAATGCCGCTTCCAGTAACTGAGAGCCCAAATGTGAGTTAGTCTGGCATTTTGATAGTTTCCTTCCAGCTCACTTGGGGAGAAACATCTCAGAACTGGGGCTACTGTTTACATTCTGATTTGCAGGACATTTAAGAATTGATTGAAGTGGTGCTGTGTTGCAACTCTTATTTGATTCTAAGAGTGTTAGCTGTTATTCTATGCACATATACTCTTGATATTTTATTGTGCTTGCATTCTGACCTCAGTACAGCAAAAATATCAATTCATTTTAAACTGTGTGTGAGTCCATTTTATGGTTTTATCCAGGGGGTTCCCCTGGTCAAAGGTCCAAGGTGGTGTCAGCAGGGGTTTGGCTTCCAAAGCAGGCTCAGGACAGACAGGGAATATGAAAATACTCAGCAGCACTTGAAAGATAGTGCTACATGTGGCAGGTCTATACGTGGAACTTGCTCTCCTGAGATCGCTCAATTCCCACACCCAAATATCAGCTTCTTTGCCCAAAACCCCTCTATATCATCATCTTCCTGTATGGACTTAGACTCCCTTCTTACCTGATGCTCATGAAACGCACTGAGCTTTCCCTCTCTTCTTGCCCCCTCTTCCTTTGTTTGTATTTCCTTTTGTCCCAAAACCAGATCTCCCCCTTACGTAGGGATGAAGCCAAATTGACTCATTAATGTCTATGTATAACCAAATAGTTTATATCTGTTATATCTTGAATACGATCCTTGTACTGTACTGTTTGAACTTGGGTCATATTTGATGTTTGTATCATTTTCACTTCCCTTGAGAAAAATAAAATCGAAACTCTGTTGAAAAACTCTACTTCTGTTACCAGTTATAACTATTAGAGATTGAGATTCTTTTCTGGCAATGCACCCACCCCCCTTAGGGAGGATGATTTTGACACTTGGGTTGATCAGGCCCTAAAGGCCATAGAAGAGTGGGAAGTAGCAGATGCCATGAAGAGACAGCGATTAATAGAGAGCTTATGGACTCCTGCCTCTCTGTGGCGCACATGAGTGCCTTGAAGTTTTATGAGAAGTAGGAATAGGAGTTGAGAACTATACAGATTTGACATACCTGTTCAAACACACATACCAACAGGAAGATGAAAGGCTATCTGACTAAGTGCAAAGGCTGGACAAGATCTTTGCATCAGGTGGTCTTACAGGGAAGAGTGAGAGCAGAAGGTGCCATCAAAGCCCTCAGGGTCCAAGTGCAGAAAGTGGCTCAACCCCCAGATCCAATTGTACAGGGTCTACATAGTACACCTACTCATTGACCAAAAAAGCACAAGGTAAATAAAAACACACAGACAGTTTTTGACAAGTCCTGTATTCAAAAAAATGTCCTCCTAAGTAGATCCAACATTAGTCATGATGAACTCTGGCTGCGACCCAAATGGGAAAAAAAAACCTGACCCACATCGATGCTTAACTCCCTCCGATGGGCAGCTCTGCTGCCTCCAGCAGCAAAATAAACTAAGGGGCAGGGCCACCCATCTAGTTACCTCACCCCTTATGATGTCATTGACCCATAATGCCCCAGTCGGTGGGGTCATGAGAGGATGGGGTCACCCGGTGACATCATAGTCAAAGGGGGCTTCCATATTCTGTTAAGTCACCCCTTGCACCCCCACAACCACCAGGCCAGGGTTGTTGGTAGGAGACCCTTGTCCTCATCAACATGGGGACAAAGTGCTTGCCTGTCCCAAAGCCTTGTATGGTTTGGGGGGAGGGAGGTAGGGGGGCATTAGCTCATTCCCCCCTTTCCTGGCTGCATGCTTGAATAATAGTATGGTATGGATTTTGGGGGGGACAACATGCCATTTTGTTCTCATTTTGGTGTGGGGTTCCCCTCAAAATCCATACCAGAAATTAAGGGCCTGGTATAGATTGGGGGTGACTCCCAAGCTTTTTTTTCTTTTTTTTTCCTTTTTTTTATGCCGGCAATTAATTTGTTTACATTCTGCTGTCAGCAGGGAATCCTGCTAACAACAGATAAGTCCTGGTTGTTACACCATTTCATAAAAATAACCTTTTTAAAAAATGGTATGATCTTAAAGTGGCACATAGCACTTTGTGAATGGAGCACACTGTCCTACAGCTATAAACTGCCCAACCCTCCCCAAATCAGGACTAAAATTAAAGGTAATGTCACATAGAGGTAGTTGGTGACACAATTAACTAATGTGACCTCTTTCTCCTCCTCCCCTTCGACCTATACCTCTTCCTTCCCCCTCCTCCTCTTTCTACTTCCCCTCCCCGTCCTTCTCCAATGTGGTTATGACACATAGAGAGGCTCTGGAGAGCTGTAATTATATGAGTATCATTGCTGGCACAATCACACATGGTTTAAAAACAGCTCATTTCCTCTAGTTCATGGCCTGGTAAGTCCCACATAAATATATTTCTGCCTGCCATAACAATTGTTTTGTATGTATTTGAATTTTTGTTTAAATATTTGCTGAATACTCTTTTTGTTAGAAATGGTAATTATTTTGTTAATTTTTTTTTCCTCATGAGGCCATACCTGCCCTAGTCAAGCAAACACAAGAAGAGGCAGCAATGCAGACTGAGTAAGGATAACTGGAAATTGGAACAGTTGGAAAGTAGAACTCAAGTAGAATTTGTGGGGCCACCACATTTGGTGGGATACTCATTTCAATCCTCCTTGGCCTTTGTTGGCCTTTTCCTGTGAGGCTTTTTTCAGGGACAAGAGGAGGCATCAGCAAAAATTAGTCATTCAGTCCTATGGGGTTGAATTCCCTCCCTTTCCTAGAGCAAAGCCTTGAAACACAAAGCAGCACTTGCCAAGACCCACCTCACCCTTTCCAGTAACAACCTTCCCATGTAAGGTCTTGGCTAAAACAGGCTATGTGTGTGGAATGAATAGCACCAAATGATGGGATTATATATTTATCCACTCTAGTTTGCAATGGTTTAAGCAGTATATACATACCGTACTTGTATCTCTAACATTGCTTCATGAGAAAAATTTGCTATTGGGTAAATATACTGTAGCTTAAGAAGTTACACCCATGAGTGCACCTTAGGGTCTGTGTAGTCAACTATTTTCAAAATCTTTTAAAACAATAAATATATTAGTCACACCCACACTGTGCTTTGGCTCTCTATAGCTAGCTGTTTACTTAATACATTGTAAATATTCTATCAAATATAAAACGCTATTCATATCGTCATTTACCCCACAGTCATCAGCCACAGGAGAGAAGTCAGGGCCATACAGAATTACAGGTAAGAGTCATGTAATGTTTTACTAGGGGACAAAATTAGCTTCTCCATAGACACAGTGAGGCAAGTGAGTGTAGCCACACTAGGACAGGAAGTGTGTTATATGCAGGATGAACAGAAGAAAATAAAGGAAATCCTGAAAAAAAGAAAACAAATGCACCTAAAGGAATAATAAGCTGCAATACATAACATTTTTGTTTTGGGGTTTAGATATGCTGCACTTTGAAGAGCACCTTGCACTAAAATGCACCCTAATTAGGTAGTTACACTGATCTTTCCTTCTGTATGTTCTCAGACAGCAAAGTTCAATGCATACAAACATTTAGTGCCAGAGGTCTGAGTGTTGCTGTGCTGGAGATTACAGCAGACTGATATCAAGACAGGTCTAAGTCTTTATGCTAGTAGTACCCCATATGGAAGAAAAATATATTTGAAATATATTTTAAAAATATCCTTCCCAAATTGACATATAATTGAAATGCTACAATTTTGGCCATATTCAATATATTAAAAAAAAAATATATATATATATATATACACTGCATGTTGAAATTGAAACGCGTTTTTATTACATAATATAGGAAAAATATTTTTAAAAATACATTTCAAATATACTGTGTCTCTTTAAAAAATACAAATCTACATTTTTGGAATGCATTTACAAATATATGTAAAAATATATTTTAAAATGACTTTTTTATATGTTAAAAAAATCTGAAGAATATATTATATATAATATATTCTATATTATATACTGCATGTTGAATTGTGTTTTTTATATATTACAAAATATAAGAAAAATATTTAAAAAAATATATTTTTCTTAAATATATTCTTCAGATTAATATATCAGGCATAGAAATCCAGGCATTCCTATAATTACAGCTTTGTGTCTGTGAAGTTGACCAAAATGTCTTTTATATATTAAAAATATTTCACTTCTGGGTTTAGGGGTCCTTTAGCTTTAGAAAGCAACTTGAGGGTTATATAGTATAAAACTAAGTCTGACTTATTTTACCCATCCTGCTATAACCTAAGTTGCTTGATGTTCACTAAACAATACAGAAGTTCAGATGCTGAATGTGAAAAAGCAGCAATGGACATTTTCTAGGCTAATAGGTAATGACATGGGGGGGATGGGGGGTGAGCTGGGCACTGGCCTGGAGAACGTGTACCAAAGCAAAAAAAATTTGTCAGGTTGTCAGGGAACAGGTAAAGGTAAACATAAAATTGTAAATTTCCCTCAAATAACACTTCTGAGGGTTGCCCTTAACCTGCTTGTGAAGCGACGCATCTGTACAATATATACAACCAGAACGGACATTTAGCCCGGGTTCACACTGATGCGGTGTGGAATTAGCAGCGTTTTCTGTGCGAATTCCGCACCGCATCAGAATCGCACTCCGTTCATGCGAACCACTGTGGGTGTGTATGTTAAGTTAACAACACACTGAAAGCGGTCCACAAAACGCGGTGCGATGTGCAGAATTGGATTGCATAGGTGTGAATACACATGTGAATCGGATTCTAGTGCAGACCCAAAAAAGGGTCCTGCACCTTTTTGGTGCAGGTGCGGTGAGATCCAAATCCATATATGCGGCACAGTATATTGCATGTGATTTGCACAGGAATGCGGTGAGGTTCCTGTGCTAATCACATGCAATATACTGTGCCGCATATATGTGAACCTGGGCTTACAAAAGAAAAAATTCAGTTTAAATTGTTGGTAAATGGCATCTTCCATCTGAATATTCCTGTTTATAAAACTAGGCAGTTAGGAAGTTCCTTCATCTATGCAAGGTCAATCCAAGATGAAGGTTTAGAATAAATGTTAAAGGAGAAGTTCACCTGGAACATGTTCCCACTCCTACAGCTTCTTCCCGATCCACTGCATCTAGCAACAGCAAGCTGGGGATCATTTATTCATTTATGGGAAACTCCTAGTACTGGAAATCTTTGTGGCTGTCGGCTTGTAGCTCTCAATGAACTACCAGGGTGCTGTTGAACACTGTGGTAGTTCATTGTCTCTTCCTGAAGGTGTGTATCTGCCTGTCTGTAAGAGGTATGAGCAGACAGATACACTGACAAGGCTGCAGGAGCCCTGCATGGCACCTGATATCTGCTGATTGCGGGTGCAATGCTTTCCAGGCTCCTAGCAAAAAAAAGAATACACATTGTTTCTACCTACAAAAGATGTGCATTTATTATTTTTTTTTGTGGGACCCACAAAAAAAACAAGAAAAAAAAGTGTGCCGCCCCCCCCCCCCCCATCTATATCAGACCCTCTTTTTGAGCATGCAGCCTAGCAGGGGGACAAACATGTAGCTCCTGAATCATTCTAGGCCACATACCCTCAACATGGGCACCCCCGGAAAAGCACTTTGTTTCCATGTTGATCAGGAAATTGACCTCTTCCCCCCAACCGTGTCCCAGTAGTTGTGGGGGTCTATGAGATATGAAATATGGAAGCTCCTTTAAAAATAAGATAGACTCAGATACCCAGATTTTTTTTTGATGAATGGGTATTACTCATTCACATGGGGGAAGCATCTGGGGTCCCTCTTTTTTTAAAGGGGTTTTTCTTTGCATGGGGTTCCTTTTTAAAATCAATTCTAGACCTAAAGGTGTAAATTTGGGGGGGGGGGGCGGACTATCACATTCATATTTCACATTTAGTAATTCTAGAAATATCTGCTGCAACCAGAGGTTAAGCCCATTCATTGAACCTCTAAACAAGCAAGCAAATTTTGGTCCAAACATGAGTTTGAACCAAAGCAGTAGGTGATCCATAGTCCCTTCCCCAAGCAATGGTCACTAGGCCTCTGCCGGAGGAAGACTTTTTAGGCAGGACTGGACAATTGGCAGCTCTGCCTAAACACTACCAATGCCATGGCAAGGGGAGTATCAGTGTTCAGGCGGAGCTGCAGGTTCATCAGAAGAAGCCAGGAATATTAGATTCTTTGGAAAATGTAAATGAGACTTATTGCAATGCATCTGCTTTATTGCATCTTTTCATTAGAACTAATATGTTATATAATATTAATTTAATCAAAATTTTGCTCTTCCTTAAAAGCCAAAGAGCCCCCACTCTAGACATCATGAAGCTGCTATTTATTGCTGCGCTGATGGTTGTGTGGGTCTCTCCACTGAGAAGCACGCCATGCAAAACTGTCCTACGTGTAAAACATGAAGCTATAGAGTATGGTGAGTAAAGTTTATCTATTGCACTCTCTTGTTCGGTGAAGGGATAGTTTGTATAAGGAGGTATCTTCATTCTAGATGTGCGCTGTACCTAGATCAGCATGATAAACTAAATACAATGCTGTCTATGCAGATTCTGGTTATCTCTTGCAGTATATCCACAGGCTTTGGTACTCTTCTGTATATAATGTGCAGCTTTTGGTGACATCAGGGGCCACATATGAGACCTCCTATATTTAGTAAGTTGAATGTCACTGCTCTTGGGGTTATTTAGCGTGCAAAATCTGGTGCAGCTCTGCATAGAAACCAGCTAGCTTCCAGGTTGTATTGCCAAAGCTTAATTGAAGAAGCTGAAGTTACCATGCACAGCTGCACCAGATTCTGAGCTCACCAATTCTAATAACCCCCCCGTTTTCTGCTTTTGAACCAGTTTTACTTCACTGCCAATAAAATAAACTTGTTGTTTAGACTGGAAAGGATTTCTGACTTTGCTCAAACTCTCTTGATCCCCATACTTGTTCCAGGTTAGGAACTCAGAAAGTATTGAAGCCAGAGAGTTTCACCAGCCAGGCAACTGTGTTCAGAAGCAGATCAGCAATGACAGCCCCCATTTCTCTTGGTAAAGGTTTACTCTTATGTGTTCTATGAACTTTGTGTTTATGCAGCTTGCCAGACTCAAAAAAGACCTCTCCAACGTGCATTTGGAATCATTCCCATTCCTTCTGTTATCAATGGAGGAAACAGAGGTATCCTTGGACTAGGATTGGGACTTGTGGACAATGTTGTCAAGCTTGCGGGGTAAGTGCAGTATATTTGTAAGGCAATGTTGTCTATTTTTATATTTATTCATTTGGGGATACAACTTATCCCCATTTTGTGTTATAATTATTTTTGCATAGAACAAATTGTTAAATAAGTTGGGACAAAAGAGGAGTATAGCCGAAATTAAAAAAAATTATTTTTTAATTTTATGACTGTTGAAATCTCTGAAAGCTTTCTGAGCACCATACCTTGCAGAATATAATATCACAAAAAGGGACTTGTTCATAAATACTTGCAATGTTTACCACTACATTTGATTATTACTGAAATAATTATCAAATAATCACTACATTTGAATATTTGGTAAATTACTGAAATAAGAAACAAAATAGGCCACTTTTTGACCCTATCTAAAGTATTCTGAAGATTTAGATTTCCAACACAGGGGTAACACAGGGGTAGCTACTGCAAATTATTATTATTATTATTATTATTTTTATACAGGATTTATATAGTGCCAACAGTTTGCTCAGTGCTTTACAATATAAAGGGAGACAGTACAATTACAATACATTTCAGGACAAAAGGAATAGGAGGACCTTGTTCGTGGAGCTTACAATCTAAAGGAAGGGAGAGGTGGTACAAAAGGTGATAGCTGCAGATCCTAAACAGCATCATTATTTCATTTTGGCTAGAGTAGGGAAAAATTTTTATTACTGTCTGTGAATCTATTGAAGAAAATGTGGTAATTTAGTAAAGACAAATAGGCTGTTCAGTTTGCAAAAGGAATTTTTTCGAGAGCATAGTGAATGTGGTCAAGCTCTACTAACTTCTTCATCCAATCATGTGCAAGAAAAATAGCTGTTTTTTTTTCTATGTACATGTTTGGGTATTCATTGAAAAGTGAAACTTCACCACATTCCTTAAGCTCTGAGGCCAATTCCCTTGCAAAGTGCAACCCCAACGTCTCTGTTTTCCTTCAGTTGAAGACATTGTTCACTTGCTGTTGTGTTTCCAGGGAAGGAAGTAGTGAGACATCTCCACAATGGGGTCCAGACTTAAAAAAAAAAAATAAAAAAAAAAATAAATGTGGGGAAGGGGGGAGGGGGGCAATTATTCCCTTTTATATACAAACCATTAAAAAATTTGATTACATCTACTAATGTCTGGAAGTTGCAGGATATACCACATTCACCTGTAAGGTAATGGAAGGTTTTAATACTCCTACAGCTTGGGTGAACATAGCAGTATATTGCAGAGTGTAGAGCCTGCGTGTTCCTGCCCCCTGTTCTCCCAGTCTATGCATTGTAAGTTGCACTTATCATCTGTGTGAATGCAAAATTCATACTTGCTCTAAACCACAAAGAATCACTGGACAGGCAAATCAGGCAAAGCTCAGAGATCTGGGGGGGTTGATTTACTAAAGGCAAATAGACTATTCACTTTGGAAGAGAATTTTCCTCAGAGCTTAGTAATTGTGATGAAATTTCATTTTGCAAAATGTGGTGAAATTTCATCTCTTGCAAAGTGAACAGTCTATTTGCCTTTAGTAAATCAACCCAATGATCTTGTATCTCTTACAATACCCTTTATCAGGAAAAATTGTTGTATTTTACTAAAGCATATTTCCTTTCCCTCCTTGTAATTGTGCATAAATATGTGAGTCCCAAATTCATTTTTCAGAAATGTATACAATTTGACAAATGGGTTTGAGTTATCCCGAAAGCTTGCATCTTTAGTAGGTGCAGTTAGCCAATAAAGGGTGTCACTTATACTCCAACTTTTCTGCATTACTCAATGACTAATTTGGTACAAAATTCTACTACTGTTATGATGGAAGACTTTTATTACTGTTATATGACCTAGCTGTTATTACTAAAACTAAAAAATGACATCAAATCTAATATTCTTTGTTTCACAAATACAGGGTACAAATTCTGGAGGTCAGATTGCCTGAGCTCAATGTGAAAATGATGCCCAATGTTGGTATTCAAGTTTCTATAGATACCAGTTTTCAGATCAGTGGGAGTATGTAAGTTATTGTTGCTAATTAAAGCATTATTATTCATGTAAAAAATAGTTTATTATACCATATTAACATATTTTACACCTTACTGATAAATCAATTTTAACTTAAGATGAAAATATATTTCTATGTTTTTCATGTTCGGAACATTGAAGTTAGATATAACTTTAAAGTATATCTATAGTAAAATGTATTTTTGAGTTTTGGATAAAGTAGGAAATAGGCAGGACCACTGTAATTTTTTTGCTTTTTTTGCTGTTTCTGCCCATAATGAGGAGAAATTACTCAAAAGCTGACCATATACTATTCAATGTGATGGAAATCAGTACATTTAACAAATGTCAACTTTCGTTGCAAAGGCATCAGAACAGCATAAGCCTTAATTAGCTTCAGTTCTTCAAAGGACTCCTAATGAGGCCTGTTATAACTGGTCATGTTGTAAATGGTCTCTGCTTTTTTGAACACTCAATATCTACACATTCTATGGTGATGGGATTCAGGTGTCTGTGCTACCTGTATAGATAAAAATCCTGTGATATCTTCCTGACACTCTACTGTAATGGAATTACCTTTCTCAAAAGTAGTTTCATTAATGTAGTAGAAAATACAACTCAGTTAGATGCCAAACACAACTATAATTACAGGGTCAAGAAAACTATTAAGGCACTTTACACCTCTTTGGAGAAATGTAGATCATATACATGTCCTGTTTGGTCTCAAACACTTCATAATTTAACTCTGATAACTGACATGCTAGTTTGGATGTCTCAGGGCAATATAAACGTACCCAGGAGAATTGGCTTTAACCTCTTGGAGCCGGCACCTCCCAGCCCTTTTAACCCTTTTAACGGGGTGACGCTGGGATCGGAAGCTCCTGACGGCAGCAGGGTTTTGGGTCATATGACTGCCGTGATTGACACTGTCATGGCGGGCACACTCCAAAACACATCTCTCAGACCTTTTGATTCGGTGGGAAGCTTTGTATCACCTCAACATGCGGACAAGAAAAGGTAGTTGCATAGTAGCTGGGAGTTCTCGTTTAACAAATGGAACTACTAAGGATTACTAAGAGTCACTTTATGAGGGCCAGTGACTCTTAAAAAACAGATCAGGTTGGATTCAAACTTTAAGTGACCTGAACTCTGCACTGTACCAAAAACCAAGTGGACTCTAAGTACTACTTAAGTATTTTACAGTTTTATATCCTTTCTGTAAACTTTTCTTGACAGGTTTTGTTTTAAAAAAAATATATTTTTTTCTTTAAAACACATTATTTATTTAAAAATCATTAAACTGATTCTCTGAAATTCCCTAACTAGAAATTAAGGAACTTTGCCTCTCTGCAGAAGGTAGTGTAATATAAAATCTTTACGTTCCTGTCTAGGCATTGCGACCAGTTATACAGACATTTGTAACTGCCTCCCACCCACCATATAAGGAAATGGCGGGTGCAAAGCGGTTCTATATGACGTTCCTTCCACTCTTACCGTGCGTGCGCGCCCCCGGGGCCGCGCGCCGAAGGTTGTGTGCTGTGACCCTGGGACAAAGCGGATCACAGATCAACGGAAAAAGCCAAAGACATCGGCTCTGTCATATGATCTGTTGTATCCAATCACAGCTGATCGCATGTAAATAAGGAAATGCCAGTTATCGGTATTCCTCTCCTCAAGAGCTGTCACACTGACAGCTCCTGAGGAGAAGAGAGCCAGTAATCAGCATTCCTCAGAAGGGACATGTACACTGATCATCAGGGCACTGATGATTAGTGTGCCCTGATGATCAGTGTAGCCCCATCAGTGCCACCTGTCAGTGTCCATCAATGCCAGCTGTCAGTGCTCAATGCCACCTGCCAGTGCCCATCAGTGCCACATCAATGCCACTTATCAGTTCCTACCAGTGCACATCAATGCAACATATCAGTGCCCATCTGAGCTGCCTTTCAGTGCCAACTATCAGTGCCAGTCAGTGCCACCTATCAGTGCTGCCAATCAGTGCACCTATCAGTGCCAGTCAGTGCACCTATCAGTGCAAGTCAGTGCCACCTATCAGTGCGCATCAGTGCTGCTGGTATCCTCACTGGGGAGACATATCCCTCTTTTATCCTGATGATCATTGTAAGAGATCTAAAGTGAGGAGGAAAAATTTACAGTACTTATCATCAGAGCAAGAGGGAAAATCCTTCAATAGGGACTCTGGTTCCCTATGATAACTCTTTAAGATTTGAATTCTGTTCACTTTTCAAGTATTTTCTGTCAGTTCCTGTTGTGTCTCCAGGACAGGAAGTGAATAGAATACTACCCCAAAGGGGAAAAAAATAACCTGATAGAGAATTTAACCCTTCAACAATGTATAAAAGCATACACTTGAACTCTTTCCTGTCGGGCGCACACGTATATGTGGCCTCTCGGTGGGTGGGTCTTAATGCTGAGAGGTGCATATATGCGTACACAAAAAAAAAATGAACTGCGCAGAGAGCGCATACCTGCACACTCACGGCACAGTTGCTGGTGGCTAACGGAAAGCTCCCGATCTCAACTTGCGATCAGGAGCTTTCCGATAATGTGACTGCTCTGACAGCCAATTATGGTGGTCACATGATCACAAACCCTGTCTCCCAGCATCTGAAACCCCTTAAAGGGCTGGGAGGCACTGGCGCCAAGGGGTTAAGGACTCATCCTAAGACAATACAATACAAGCCAATGCATGAATACATACATTTTTTCCATGCTGTTCTGAACTGTGTTGAGCTTTGGAGTTTTAGGATATGGTTATGGCTAGCTATCTTGGATTGATCTTTGAACTTGGTAATATAACATTTCAGATAATTCTTATGATTTGTCAATGTGGTTATAATTGTCTTTATCACTTAGGATATTTTGCCCGTGTCTTGGAAAATGTCGTTTCTTGATAATGGTGACTTGTTCATCCATGAAATGTGACACTATTTTTTAAGACACGTATTTCATACGCATTGAATGTACAAATCTGCAGAACAAATATAATTCTCGATTGGGAGACATGTTTTTTGTAAAAACACACCTTTGTGTTTGGGTATTTTCTAATCATCTCGTTCCTATGATTAATGGATTATCTCCTTTTTTTAGAGCCCTTGTTGGAAAAATTGATGTCAAAGCAAAAGCCGGTGTTCTTGCAGATCTGAGATTCACCAGGACAGATAGAGGTTTCCCTATACTTAGTGTTTCAGCTTGCAAGTCCATACTGGGAGACACAAGAATCACAGGACCCTTTGGGTATGAATGCTATTATACATAGTTACATAGCATAGTGATAGCTTTTAAACTTACTTTTGGTCATTGTCTATATATAACATATTCTGTTTCAGTCACAATTTCCCTTAAAATAAATGTAATAAATGCAAATATAGGAAAATATTAAAATACCAAGAAGAAGGTGTGAAATGCCTTTGACTTCTGAACTGTTCAGTCAGCAGAGCTGATGCCAAGAGGTCTTAGAGAATCTGAGACGCTGCACTGGGCCCATACAGCAGCTAGGCGACCCTCTAGAATAGCCACAAGGCACATAGTTTTGCAAGTGAGCATGCATGCAATGTTTTTAACTTTCAGCTTCAGTGTGTTTGCAAAAAAAAATAAGCACAAAAGACGTTACTTACAGCTTATGCAAACAGTCCCTTGTGCTACTGGATCCTGCTTTAGTTGAACTCTCTCTTCCTCCTCCAATCACGTCCTAGCTCTGCTGCCATATTCTTCCACTGCAGTGCGGGTTAATAAAGCCAAGGGACCTGACATATGCACCTATCAAAAGTGCTGACTATGCTTGCCCTTTGTGTAAATCTCCTCCATTCATAGAAGCTGTACTATAGCTTTTATAAATGTATTTATTTCAGGTACTTCTATAGCGCCATCAATTTATGCAGCGCTTTACATACATATTGTACATTCACATCAGTCCCTAACCCTCAAGGGGCGTACAATCTAAGGTCCCTAACTCACATTCATACACACACATACTAGGGCCAATTTAGACAGGAGCCAATTCACCTCCCAGCATGTCTTTGGAGTGTGGGAGGAAGCCGGAGTACCCAGAGCAAAACCACGCAGGCACAGGGAGAACATGCAAACTCCAAGCAGGTGGTGCCGTGGTCATTAAATGAAAAATGATGTATGCATGGAGGAGGAAGACTTTTCATTCATAGACCCATCCTCCATTCATAGATTGAATTGCATCGATAGATGCTATCGTAGATCTTCCATGAATGGAAGGAGGTGGATGGAAAGGGCAGGCATAGTCGGCACTCCTGTCAAGAGCCCATCTAGCCATACCCTCTGTAAATTATTGTATGGACATAAATGTATCCTTTTTTAGTTGTAAATAAACCTATGCAAGCTATGTTGGCAGCACAGACAGGCCAGGGACGTCTTCCAGCTCTGCTTATTTTCAGTCCCAAGCGAAGTCACAGAAATAGATATGCAATCAGACCAACTTTGTACTAACAACCTCCATTTTTACCGTCTTGCCTCCATTTTCTTGCTACAGCAATTGTGCAGTGTGTTTCAAAAAAAAGACTTTAACGGGCACCAAAAAAACCTCCTGCTCTCAGTAATTCACACAGACCCGCTCAGACACACACTTTCCCCTTTTCTGCAATATACGTTCCTTTAGAGGATTCTTGTGCTAAGGGGTGTGGTTAGAATCTTTCCATAAATTAATATCTAATATCTGCTTATTAACAGTACTAACATATGTATGAATGTGTTGGATCTTAATAGAATAATTGTTATATTTCTATTTGTTCTAGATTGGGAAAAGTGAGTTAAATAGACTTTATAGTCTATGTGAATATACATATGTATATCTTGTTTTTTTTCTCTACATTCAAGCAACATGTGGTAGCAATTAGTCTAGCTTTCCTCCCCCATCTCCGTGGGTAGGAGCTAAAGTTTCACTAATAAGAGAATTGTAAGAATCTATTTCATACATGTTAAGCTTTCAAAATGTATACTGTAATATTTCTTGATTAAGATATTTATATATGATATAACTTTATATCAAGATTACTTTTGGGAGAATATATATATATATATATATATATATATATATATATATATTATATATATATAAATCTAGTGTATATTTGTAACACACCATCCCCCTGATTGATGGAATGTCGGTGGAGTTTTCACTGGATGTTCCAGGGATTGGATTTTGGACTCTCTCCTAGGGGAGGGGAGAAGACTAGGGGTTTGTTGTATACATCTGTTGCCAAATATCATTGTAGGACTACAAGAGACAGAAAAGAAAACCAGACTATTTTTAGGGGAAGGTAGGGGCTGAATTTCTCCTTATAGAGCAGAACAAAGACTTTTTAGGCACACTTTTTTAGGAGCAAGGCTAAGGGAGTCTACAAAATTACACCACACACACACAATGTTTATCTCAAGAACATAACTATATTTTTTTGGACATTATCTAAACATTTTGTATTCCAATATTTAATTTCCAATTTTATGCAATATTGTTATTAAATCAATTTTTGAGTTTATTCAGGAGTTGGAAGGACTTTCTATTTTGGACTTTTCTCACCAATACAAGTTAACAAAATATTGAGACAATACAGTATTTTACAGGTGTGGTTATTACTCAGCTCTGCCAGCACACATCATTGCAAAGAAGCAGCATTATTACTAAAGAAAAAGATCATTTTTAGTAATGAAGTAGAACGTACAAATACTTAAGGGGGGATTTCCTAAAACTGGTGCACACAGAATCTAGCGCAACTGTGCATATTAACTAATCAGCTTCTAACTTCAGCTTGTACAATTAAGCTTTGACAATAAAACCTAGAAGCTGATTGGTTACTAAGCACAGCTTCACCAGATTCTCTAAATCTCCCCCCTCCTCTTTTCTTTTTGTCTTATTCTTCATCACTAGTATTAGAAGCAGAATATGTTGAATATCATTGACTTTGATCTACTTCAGCATTATTTACTACTTACGTTGCTTAAAATATTTACTGACATATTTTTGTTTTTCACTAGTATACTTCCTGCATTAACTAATATAATAAAAGGTCATTTTGAAGTTGTCCTTAGTGATATGGTAAGTGCATGCTAAAACATGTTATTATTATTATTTATTATTATTTATTTCAAGTTCTTATTTAGTGCTGACAATTTATGCAGCGCTTTATATATATTGTACATTCACATCAGTCTCTAACCCTCAAGGGTGTACAATATAAGGTCTCTAACTTACATTCATACATACACATACTAGGGCAAATTTAGAAAGGAGCCAATTAACCTACCGGCACAGGGAGAACATGTAAACTCCAGGCAGGTGGTGCCATGGTTGGGATTCAAACCAACGACCCTAGTACTGACAGGCGGAAATGCTAACCATGTAGCCACAGTGCTGCCCATGTTTTGATTTGTTGCGTTAAAATAGTGTTGTAAGAAATGCAATAAACAACAGAAGCACAGATCGACAAAATTGTTCATTTTTGGTCTTATAGCCAAACTAACAATGTAAGGATGCTTTCATACTGATGCAATTAATCAGAAAGCTCACCCAAACTGCAGGATAGTGATGGGCTCAAACACTGGCCGTTTATGTGTTCGGCGAACACACAAACAGTAAGGGCATTCGCCGGGCTGTTCGCCCGCCGCACTCCACAATGCACTTCATTCTGACAGTGCATTGTGATTGGCCAGAGCAATGCACCTGACCATAGGTCAGGTGCAAAGCTTTGGCCAATCACAGCACAATTGGGGCGGAGATAGCAGTGATGTCCCCACTAGCTCCACCCAATTGTTTACATCTGCCTGGCAAATGTCAGATAATGGCAAGTGCTTGGTGGGTGCTCAACGGGTTGGCGGGCGTGTTTTTTTTTTTTTTTGCCGTGATTGACAATAGATTACATAGATGGAACCATTTCATCAACATGGGGACAAGTTGCTTTGGGGGGGAAAACCCCCCCTCGCCAATTCACCCACCCCATGTTGAGAGCATGTGGCCTGGTGTGGCCCACCCCGGATTCTGGATTCAGGATTTCTTTGCCCACCAGGATTGTGCTCGGATAGAGGGTCTGGTAGAAATTTAGGGGGACGCCACGCTTTTTCCCATTTTTTGGAGTGGGGTTGGGTTGGGAGTGAGAAACCTCACACACTTTAAAAAATGTTTTTTACTGTGGGGTCCCTCCTAACTTTCTTACCAGACCTAAAGGATCTGGTAAGGATTATGGGGGACCCCATGCTGTTTTTTTATGTTTTTTGTTTGTTTTTTAATAAAAATGTAATTAAAAAAAAAGTCAGTTCTTTACATTGTACAGATGTGCAACTTTGCAGGTAATTTAAGGGGACCCCCACCCTCGGGCATAATAATTAAAGGAATTTTCCTTTTTTTTTTGCTTTTTTTACTTTAAGCAATGAAAAATGACTGCCCCTTTAAAAACAGTACTACTTTTTGAAAAAAAAATTTTCACTGATTCATGTCCCTAAGGGCAGTACCCAAGTCCCCATACCCCTTTTATGGACAATAACTTGCACATAAGCCTTCAAAATTGGCACTTTTGAATTTGCATAGACTTGCATTAGGTTCAAAAGTTCACGGTTGAACTTTAGTTAGGTTTGAATGTTCGACCACAAACCACACAAGGGGGTGTTCAGCCCATCATTACTGTAGGAACATAATAGAAGTCTATGGCAAATGCAGATAACCCGCACGAAAACCTAGGGTACGCTGCACTGCACCTGGGAAAACCGCACCACATCAGTGTGAAAGCACCCTAAAATATAAACAAAGTCAAACTTTTTTTTGGCTATGATTCCCATTTTAACATTTACTGTGCCCTAAAGTGAGTCAATAGTTTACTATTGCTGAACAGTGGCTGATGGGGCAGAGCCAAAGCATAATTTCAAAATCATCCTGACAATACTGTCAAGATCCACCCCCAATGTCTAACAACCAAAGCCAGCAGCAGCCCCCCACCCCCTTCTTGGTTGCTACAGTCAGCACTGAAACATCAAAGAGGGAAGGGAGAAATCCCATCAGAGGTGCCGCTAGGAAGAAATAGCTGTTATATGGTCAGTCTTAGAGTGGGGCAGCTGCAGCAACAGTGTGACAGTAGAGAGGTGGGTATATATGTTATTGTTTATTTACCCGGGCCAGTCAGGAGAAGTAGCGGCAATCCTTTCCTTTGAAATATGAGTTGTTACCTGCTGAGAAGCATAAATTAGTATAATTTCTATCACAACACCTCTAAAGTTCATTAAATTTTTACAATTATGTACAATGAACGATTACAATGAACGCTTTTTAATACTCCAGAATTAAATGTAAAAAATGTCTGGGTTTTTTTTCTTACAGCTTTGCGTATCAGTATCAAACGTATTCCTGGGATTTAATACAAACCTGGGCATGTTGGTTGGTAAGCAATATCTACTAGCTAACACAAGAGCAATGCAAACTGAAAAATGGTCCAATACTGCTTTATTGATGTATTTATATTTTGCATATTATATAAATAATAAACCTTGGTAAATATTATATTATATATTCTAAAGTTTACATCATCGCGTCCCTGGAATGCAATACCATGAAATACAGCGTACAATAAATAATAATATTAAAAAATATAAAATAATATTAAAATAATATTGGAGCTACTATTATACAACAATACTTCAAATACTAATCAAAAATGTGAAAATAAAATATGATATAATATAACCACAAATAATAGCGCTCACAAAAATAAATAAATAATAAGCATACTATTAAATTGTGATACCACCACCAAAAACATTGTGTGTATAAATAAATATATATATAATAAATAAATAAATATTCATTCATTGGATCATCTTAAAGTCCATTCAATAAAGAATTTATTGAATATTTATTCATATATATATTTTATTTATACACACAATTTTTTTTGGTGGTGGTATCAATTTAATAGTATGTGTATTATTTACTTATTTTTGTGAGCGCTATTATTTGTGGTTATATTATATTTTCATATTTTATTTTCACATTTTTTATTTATATTTTGCATATACCGTATATTTTGTCTCTACTCTTGTACCTTGTAGTTTTGGTAAAATATCATATTTTTAGTTGCATATGATGCTTAGCATACAGCAGAAGTAACAATAATGAACCAATGCCGAAATAAGGAACACTAGCATTATTGATTTCATCCACATACAGTCCTCCTATCCTCTACAGCCAAGAAAGCTGCTTTCTTAAGTTTTGTTGGTCTGCAGTTGTCATGGTATTGCACATGTGATCAGTTATGACACCAGCCATTTGATGGCTTAACAGTTCGGTTGAAAGAACCAGCAACAGTGGGAGTTTTAATTTATGGCATTTTGGGAAACAGTTACATCGATGAGTTTACTAATCATTTTTAGTGGAACTATAGCCAAAACTTTTTTTTTATTGAATGTAAGTGTTTTAACCCCTGCCAGTTTTTATGACTGTCTCTGTCCCTGTTGGTGAGCATGCAGGAAATAAAGGGGCAATTTCGCAAACAGGAACCCACAAAGCAAAACTCCTGACAAGGGTCCCAAATTAAGGGAGGAGAGGGAAGATATATTTTTTAATGTTATTGTAGCGATACCTCTGAAGGGGCTGCTTAATCACTTGCCTACAGGGCACTTATACCCCCTTCCCTGCCCAGGCCAATTTTCAGCTTTCAGCGCTGTCACACTTTGAATGACAATTGTGTGGTTATGCAACACTGTACCCATATGAAATTTTTATATTTTTTTGAGACAGATAGAGCTTTCTTTTGGTGGTATTTAATCACCTCTGGGTTTTTTATTTTTTGCTAAAACAAACCAAAAAACAACTGAAAATTTTGTAAAAAAAATTTTTTCCCTTAGATATTGTTTTACATTTTGTAAATAAGTGATTTTTCTCCTTCACTGATGTGCGTTAATGAGGGCTGCAGTGATGGGCACTGATAGGCTGCACTGATGGGCACTGATAGGTGGCACTGATGGGGAGGCACTGGTAGGTGGCACTGATGGGCATTGACAGGCATCACTGATGGGCACTGAAAGGCAACACTCGTATATGGCACTGATAGGCGGCACTGATAGGTGGCACTGATAGGCGGCACTGAGTGGCACTGATAGATGGTAATTGTTAGGTGGCACTGACTGGCATGTTAGGTGGCACTGATAGACAGCACTGACGGGCACTGATAGGTGGCACTGACTGGCACTGATAGGCGGCACTGATAGGTGGCACTGAGAGGCATCGATAGGTGGCACTGACTGGCACTTATAGGTGGCACTGAGAGGCAGATGGGCACTGATATGTGGCATTGATGTGACACTGATGGGCACTGGCAGGTGGCAGTGATGAGCACTGACAGCTGGCATTGACGGACACTGATAGGTGGCATTGCTGGGGCTTACACTGATCATCAGGGCACACTGATCATCAGTGCCCTAATGATCAGTGTACATATCCGCTCCGAGAGGAATGCAAATTACTGGCTCTCCTCTCAAGCTGTCAGTGTGACAGCTCGTGAGGAGAGAAATGCCGATAACCGGCATTTCCCTATTTACATGCGATCAGCTGTGATTGGACACAGATGATCACATGACCGAGCCGACATCTTCGACATTTCTTTCTGTTGATCGGTGATCCGCTGTGTCCAAGGGACAGCGCACTGCCGATCGCCGCCGCGCACTCCCGGAGCCACACATGCGCGGTTAGAGTGGGAGGACGTCATATGACATCCTCCCAGAACGAGGAGAACCGCCTTGAGCCCGTCTTTACCTTATATGGCGGGCGGGAGGTGGTTAAGTTTGTTCACTCCGCCACTCTGCCTCTCAACCCCAAGAAAACTGACTAATGAGAGTTCTTTTAGATTGTGAGCATTAAAGCAATAGTCTTTTGCAATTTGTGCAGCTGTTTCATATGCTCTCCTCCTTTCCACAAAATGTGAAGTCTAGGAAAACTAAATAGTACTATCACTGATATCCACATTTTGTCAAAAGTTGATAGCTAAGGCCTAATCCCCAACACTGTAACCGCCACCCTGGCTGCTTTCAAATCCAGAGAGTAGTGACATAGAACTGTCAAAGTAAATGCAGATTTGTTGTTGATGTGCAGGCTTCAACTTTTCAGTACTGTAGAGGCGAAAAGATGGTGCCACCCAGTGGAGGTATAACGGAGTCTCCATTAACAGAGTTGAGTAGAGTTTTTGTTCAGATTTTGCACCAGTGAGATTTATATGATGGGTAGTTTCGTCAGTAGTTTCTGAAAAATTGTCATAAGACAGGAATATTTTAAAAGATAACTTTATTTTTGTAAATGTTTTTGCTCCAGAGTTTTTATGGTCTACAGTACATTTTTTTTTTTCTCCATAATATCCTAAAATAATTCTGTAGTGAGGAGGGGTAGTGTAAATAATGATCCACCCCAGGAGTCAAATAAGCTAGGTACCCCCACTAAGTTCAGTGCTTACAGTATGTATAAAAAGCATAAATGTGCTAAGTTTCATGATTGTCATAAATGTTCTTAGTGTTCCAGGTCTCTGTTTTTTCCTTTCTACTCTTATCCTAATCTACTCTTTTTTGTGCACTCATGATTTGTAAAGTACACAACTTGATTCTGGCCCAGTAAATGTAATTATATTATGTCATTATCACAAACAGAGCATAATAACATTATCATGTTTGTTGGAAAAATGTCAACTTACATGGGCTTCATACATGGGGGCCATACATCATCAACGTGGAACGCTTTTGGTGACCTGCACTCTTAATCTCGTAGACCAGTAGGGGTCACCAGAAGCCTTTGTTTGTATGTGATATGTGATGGTTTTCAAATCCAGAGAGTAAATAACATACCAGTAATGTACAATAATGGTCAAATGTATGTATTCAGCAAGGCAGTATATAAATGGCCTTGAATATATCAGTTATAGTATTTGCAAGCGACCAATAGGGTTTCTATATATTAAAGTGAAATAAATGAGTAATGAAATACAGTTGGTGCCCCTGCCCTCTGTCTTGTTGAAAAACCTTTTTATGGGAGATCCACATAATCACATTAAGAGACCCACTTTGACCAGCATTAAATACTAACAAAGATACAAATACAGTATGTGAAAAGTATGAAGCACAACATAAATCTTTCATTGTTCTATTTCAAAGGTGGATCCATTATTGGTGGTAACCTTGGCTTACAGTACACCATGCCCAGTGCTCCAGTGGTGACAGAAGACTACATGGATGTGATTATGGATGTAAGTTGGCACACATATATTGGTAAGACCACTGCATCCTTGAATGTTTAAACAGAACCTAGCTATATTTTTTTAAAAGGTTGACATGCAAAACTTTTAATATCTTCTTGAAAAGGACCTGTGCTTTGGAAGCCATGCTTAAAAAAAAAACAGGGGGCAAAATCTCATTAGTATTGTTGTGGTCTCCCTGCAGCTTATCTTTGCTTCCTTAAGTCAGAGCTGCACACCCAATGACTGGTGAAGTATTATTCAGAAAACAGTAGGAGAGGTGGGAAATGCACAGATACAGCAAATAAATGAAACATAAGCAGGGAGATACTTGCACTGCAGGTACAGCTTTCTTTCCAGCAAGGAGAACAATGAGCAGCATAGTAGTGCATAACTAGATCTCAATCCAAATCCCATAAGATTGGGAGTCAGAGGTAGCAGCGCCTTAGATGATCTCACACTGCACATATTTAGTTATTCAAATATTCAAAGACTTTTGAACAGGAGTACAAACAAACATACCACGAAGGGCACTGATATTTTTAAGGAGGAATTTGAGGCAAAAGGTATTCTTTTCAGGACACTGCCAAGTCAAAGTTAACATTTCTAAATTTTTGCCCTGTGATCGATATATTCCTTCTCACATACATTATCCAGACCTGAGAACAATATTTTGGAATTATTTTAGGTAGTTTAAAGGATAAGTTCATCTTTGGGAACATGTTACATGTTCCACTCGTTTTTAGGGTGGAACATGTTACATGTTCCTTATCCTGCAACTGCTGCCTGCTGCCCCCTCTCCCTATGACAAAAGTACGGGAAGAAGTTTCCCGTACTAGCTGTCACTTTTCAAAAACATCCTCTGTGAATGAATGGACTACATGTCCCGACAGTCTTTGCGGCTCTCGCTTGCAGTTCTCAATTATCTACCACGGCATTGTGAGCGCTGTGGTACTTCATTAATTCTTCCTGTCAGAAGTATCGGCTTGCTCGTACGGGATGTATGAGCAAGCAGATACATTGACAGTCTGCTGGAGACCTGCATGGCATCAGTGATCTGCTGATCTCTGGTGCAACGCTTTTAGAGGCTCCTAACCCCCGCAAAAAATGAATAAATGTGCATTTTTTTAGCTGCAAAACATTTTACATTTATTATTTTTTTGTGTAAAGGTGAACTTATCCTTTAAAAAGCCAACAACCACCAAAAATAGGATGGTACATTTTTCAAATGCCACTGACTGCAAATAATTGTGGGTTTGTTTTGGGAGACCTGGTTAAATTAGTCACCAATGATGGGGGTTAAATTTCCACTAACCACTAATAATTGTGGGATTGTTTAGGGCAGTGGTCGGCAAGCCGCGGCTCGCGAGCCACATGGGGCATTTTACAAAGCTTTAAAAAAAAAGTGCGGCTCTTGTGCGCCGGGCGCCCGCTCCCCTCCCTCCTCTCGGGTGGCAGGGACTCTGCAGCGTGATCCAAAAAAAAAACAGCCAGGGCAGCGCGCTCAAATGCAATGATTGGCCAGTCTCGCTGCCACTCACATCCTGATAGCCAGTGATTGGCTGTCAGGATGTGTGTAGGCGGAGCAGCGTGACGAACGTGAGAGGAGCTAGGCTCCTCTCACAGTCCGCCCTGAAGACCGGAACGGCGTGGGAACACGGCGAGAGGAACGCGCGGAGCAAAGGTAAGTGAATTGACACAGGGGGGACTTGGCTTACTACTTGCTACTTACTTACTACTACTATATGAGGGATGAATTAATATGGGGGATGAATTACTATAGGGGGGATGAATTACTATGGGGGATGAATTACTATAGGGGGGATGAATTACTATGGGGGATGAAATTACTATAGGGGGGATGAATTTTTATAGGGGGGATGAATTACTATGGGGGATGAATTACTATGGGGGATGAATTATCTATATGGGGGATGAATTACTATATGGGGGATGAATTACCATATGGGGGATGAATAACCATATGGGGGATGAATAACCATATGGGGGATGAATTACTATATGGGGGATTAATTACTATGGGGGATGAATTACCCCCCTATGGGGGATGAATTACCATATGGGGGATGAATTACTATATGGGGGATGAATTACTATGGGGGATGAATTACTATATGGGGATGAATTACTATGGGGGATAGTAATTACTATATGGGGGATGAATTACTATGGGGGATGAATTACTATAGGGGGGATGAATTACTATGGGGGATGAATTACTATATGGGGGATTAATTACTATGGGGGATGAATTACCATATGGGGGATGAATTACCATATGGGGGATGAATTACTTATATGGGGGATGAATGCTATGGGGGATGAATTACTATATGGGGATGAATTACTATATGGGGGATGAATTACTATATGGGGGATGAATTACTATATGGGGGATGAATTACTATGGGAGGATGAATTTACTATAAAAACTTATTGAAAATAAAAACAGTGTACCATCCTATGTATTTTCAGTTTTAAAAATGTGGCTCTCAAAATAAATTTCAATCGTGGTTTTGGCGAGATTTGGCTCAGTTGAAAAAAAAGGTTGCCCACCACTGGTTTAGGGGATTTTAAAGCGTTTGGAGCTGAACATTGAAGCAAAAGCATTATATTAAAGCTGAAAAAATAAAGTCAGCAGCTACAAAATCTGTAGCTGTTGACTTTTAAAATACAGCCACTTACCTGTCCCTTGGTCCAGCGGTATGCTCACCACCACTGGTTTTCACTGGCCGTTATCTCTCCCTGGCGCCGACATCTTTAGTGTGGGCACCCGGCTGTGACAGCTTGCGGCTTCACAGCCAGGTGCTAATGCGCATGCTGGAGAAGCGCTGGCGCTTTGTGAATGACCTAGGTGATCGCAGCGGAAGTGGGATCGAGTACCTGTCAAATCCAGGTATCCGCCAACCCCCCCCCCCCCCCCCTCTCCCCAAAGTTGCCAATCCTTAATGGGGAGCAGGGGACAAAGCATTAAAGTGGAACTTCCCCTTTGGGGTAGAACTCCGCTTTAATTGATATTTTAAAAAGTCATTGGTTTGTATTTTGTTGTTTTTGGATTGAGTTTTGCTTTAATTTGAATGGCACCCAATGCATTAAAGTAACACACCTATGTTGTTGTGCACTGTGTTGGAAAAAAGCGGAGATGCATTATTGGTGTTTTTGTTGGTGCTTTTGCCATAAGTCTATCAATGTGTGTGCATTTTAACTAACCACACAAGTGTTACTGAAGCCTTAAAACCAGTATACAGGGCTTCCGTCATAAATGACTGCTCCTTAAAGTGTAAAGTGTTTCTTCAGCCAAAAGTTTTTTTTTTTTAGTTTAGGATACAGCAGAGAAGGTTTAGAACCCCTGACAAATTTTACTGCTATCTAGAGCTCTATTATGGAGATTTCACTTTCAGTGTGTGTGACAACATGTTACTAGAGAAATGGAGTAAAATCTGCAACACTAATTAGCTAAAAAGGGTTTTAGCCTTCCAGTGCTGGATTAAAAAAACATTTTTGCTGTATATGTTGTTGTCAGAGATGTATCTGCACTTTCTCTGTGGTGAAACTTTTTACTGAATAGCAGTAAAAAATTTTTTGCAAAGGTTCAAATCTTTCTCCTCTAAAAAAATTGTTTTCGCTGGACTTGTCACAAATCTTTCATTATACAGCAGATAGAAACTCAATTTATAAATGTAATCTGTTTCTTTCAGGTGGAATATGAAGTGGATAAGAAGGTTGTTGAAATACCAAATGGTGTCAAAGACTTTACTCTTCCTCCTGGTGCTGGTAATAAAGACGCAATGATCAACCTTGGCCTCTCACAAGATTTCTTCAACTCCATGTTTACAGCTTTTCAGAGTTCTGGGGGTTTAAACTTGGAAATCTCATCAACTTCTGTAAGTCTATGGTCTACTCTGTTGAAATTAGTGGCCTTTGCTTTATTCACAGATGAGTCCCACCTTCATAATCCTTTGAAGTGCTCCATCCAAAGACAACAGAATGTCCTCATCATCATTTTCAAAAAGCGTAGAACTGTAGGACTTCCTTTGACTATTACATTTAGACTATTCCTGGGTATTTAAAGGCAATTTTCAACAAGAAGGAAAATGTTCCATTCAACCATCTCCTAGTGTATCATAGCTGGCTCTACCAGAGCTTCTCAAGAAACATCAAAAAAAAGGTGCCCAGACAACTTTATCCATCACCTCTTTTTTTTTTGAGTGAGCTTGGAGCTGTTTCTGGATAATCCCCGATTGCCACACTCCTAAATCTTGGAAGGATAGCCTACCACTCATGTGGAAGGACCTCATTTCCACCACCTCCACCCGTGAGCTCCTGCTTACAGCCATTATTCAAAGCTTATTATCATAGGCGAAGTCACAGACTCTGTTCAAATCCTAGCTTATGCTTCCACTCCACATGCTGATAAAATGTCTTCAGGACTACAGTTGTGAACTCTGTTTATTTATCAACCAATGCTCAACAGCGGAGTGGTTGTATACCACTCCTCCTGAAGACATTGGGGGTTATTTACTAAAACTGGAGAGTGCAAAATCTGGTGCAGGTCTGCATAGAATTCAATCAGCTTCCAGGTTTTATTGCCAAAGCTTAATTGAACAAGCTGAAGTTAAAAGCTGATTGGCTACCATGCACAGCTGCACCAGATTCTGAGTGAACCAGTTTTAGTAAATCTCCCCCATTGGTTTTGATTTACTAAAGCAAATGTTCAGCTAGCAAAGTAAATGTAGGTAAATAATATGGAACTCATTTTAGACAAACATATTTGGTTGATTGATGTGACCAGGAATTCATCTTATTTCTGAATCTTAATGAACATGCACTTTGATAAGTTAAAGTATAACTAAAGGCAAACTTTTTTTTTTAGTTTTGGAAAAAGTGGGCATGAATTAGAACACCTATTAGGTTTTTATTGCCACCTCTACACCGTTAGGGGGATTCACCCTATTTGTCCTCTTTACCATTATCATCAACAGTGAAAGTAAAAGAAAACCCCAATTTTAGGTTGTCCCCAGAAAAGTAATATTCCAATGGGGACACGTGTTCTGTTGACCAGGGGGTCTCAAAGGAATTCCCTTAATTTGCAGAGATTTCCTCTCACTTCCTGTTTTAGCAAAGGGACAGGAAGTAAAGGTAAATCTCTCACATGGGATGCAGACAGGAAAAAATAAACTGACAGGGTTATAACTGTCCCTTACTCTATCCAAAATGAAAAATAAAGTTTTGCCTAAATGTATACTTTAATATGTTTCTGTTACCTAAACCAACCCCATTGTCTTAATAGTGCCTAATATTTGAATGGTTTCTAAACTGAAGAGCAATATATTGCAACTACCAGTCCTTAAATAAGGTGGCTACATTAGTTTTTTTTGTCAGGCTTTTTTCTTTTATTTTCACTTAGTGATCCCACCAGTAACCTACTTCCTGTCCTAGATTGATAACACTCAGCCACTATACAGTATCTATGGATGAGAAGTGGTATTACCCTAGCACCCAAGTGTTTAGTACTACAGAACACCTTTCCCTCTCCTTTTGTACATGACATAGTGCGGAGTTGTTTTGTGCTACACAGAGAGAACTGGAAACAATTAACCCGATAACAGACAGAGGAGACAGAAAGCACAAAAAGTTATCAGCTCAAAATTTTCTGTCAGGATCAACAGAAAGCGAAAAACAAAATACTTTCAATTGCATATTTAATAGACCAAAAATTAAAAAAAGAACAAAAAGTTAATTGTTCGGGTTTATATTTACTTAAATAGGGCCCACATTTTTCCACGTTCATTGAGGGGGTAGAAAATCCTTTCAGCTTCGAAGCAAGGTAAGGCAGGTTCATCTTCTGCCCTACTGTTTCTTTGATTTGTTCACAAAATTAGAATAGCCCTTTAAGGTATGCGGCAATGCATTGCCCACTATGCCATTTTCACCCATACTGTTATTCACATGTTTCACTGGCTTTCTTCTCTACATATTCCAAGACAATTAATATATCACCTGGATTTATCTTATTTCTAGGCTTCTGTTAGGAACTATCTGACAACATCTGTACTGGGCTCCCACATTCCCGAGGTATGTATTATATTTGCTCCATCTGGATTATACATATATTTTGATCACGTTATTACTGATACTTTAGCATAACATGCCATAAGGAAGAGGCAGAATCAGTTAAGCCTGTCATCAAATAAAATAGATTTTCTATAGTAAAAACCAATCAAAACATAACCAGAAACTATAACAGGGTTACAGTGGGTAGAAGTAATCCTATTTTAATTAAGAGACTTAGCTAGTATTTGAAAGCTTGAACTTAAAGCCCTGCAGTAAATATTACTTTTAATTCATGGTGATCTGGATAGTCATTAAAAAAGTTTACGATTTATGACTTATAGTTGTGCCCCCCCCCCCCCCCCCCCCATTCCTGATCATGATCAGTAATATAACTTCATATTACTATGCTTATTATTTCTTTTAGGCTCCATAATGTATCTGCTGTTATAATTACATACCCTGCACAGAGATTTTGAAGCTTACTTGCAAATTTTACAATTTGCTTACAGCAAAGAACCAGTAGACTGAGAGTGGTCATTACTGGGGAGATTAACTACACACATGGTAATCACCACCATGTGTTTATATGGAAATGCGTATCATTCATGGAATTCTTTATTGCAAATCTGACCTTTAAAAACCGCTTTGAGCACAGAAATATGGACATAATCAGACCGCTAGAGAGGTTAAAAACTGTCTGTTTCACTTGCTGCCACGTCCAGACAGAAATGTGTTAGAGCTTACAATACAAGAGCTTCTTCACACAGGCAAAGTTCTGTGATTTCTAATTAAAGTATTCAGAGTTTCAGAATACCAGTGATTAAATATTGATTAAATCAAAAGAAAAACAGTGAAAAAAATATTTACTAGATATAAAAAAACAAACGTAAGCATCAACAAAATAATAGGGCTTAAATGTGAAAACACTACAGTAGAGTTCTTCTGGTATTTTGTTCACTGCAGAGTTTGAGTCACTTGCAAAGTCCAATCTGAATCTTTGCAAGAGTCACTGGCCCTAAGAAAAGTGACTTGGTATCTGATTTCCTTGTACCTGGGAAGGTTGTTGCTGAGAGAACACACAATCAAATGGTCAATAGCATTCTCTACTGTGATATTATTATTATACAGTATTTATAAAGCGCCAATAGTTCGCTCAGCGCTGTACATTACAAAGGGGGACAGAACATGTGACAGAACAATAACAATACAATGCAAAACATGAGGGGATTGAGGACCCTGCTCTTTCGAGCTTACAATCTAGGAGGGAGGGGATGGTGGCACAGGAGGAGATAGCTGTGGGGGATGGAGTGGTAGGAAGAGTGGAGGAGTTCGGCAAGTTAGCAGGGGGTGGGGTAGGCTTCCCTGAAGAGATGGGTTTTCAGGGTGCGCCTAAAGGAGAGGAGAGTAGGTGATAATCTGATGGGTTGGGGCAGGGAGTTCCAGAGGATGGGTGACACCCTGGAGAAGTCCTGGAGGCGGGCATGGGAGGAGGAGACCAGGGAACTAGAGAGAAGGAGGTCTTGTGAGGAGCGGAGTGTGCGAGCTGGGTGGTACTTGGATATTAGGTCAGTGATGTAGTTCGGGGCAGTGTGGTGGACGGCTTTGTACGTCAGTGTTAGGATTTGGATATAGTGATATGGGTGTGCTGGAGAGTATGTTATTATGCTCAGCAGACACACTCTCCATTTTACCAGGTTTCACAACCTGGGCCAGCAGAATGTGATTTCTCAGAATGCAATTACAGTTTGTCAGATGACAAATATGATATGGCTGTTAAGTGTCTACTTAATGTGTCTTATTATCCTTCACCAGTGCTTGGTTTCTAACTGGTTTCTAAATTGGTTTCTAAATTATTCTAACTGTAGTGGTAACTTCTTACCCATGTATGAAAGTTCAACTTTAGGTTAATATACCAGACTAACAGATGTGTATTATTTAAAGTGCTCCCCAAACAGTTTAGGAATTGACCATTTATGACAGGTCCTCATAAGAGGTTTTTGAAACCCTATTAAGTAAGATTTACGATGCTCAGAAGCTCTGCATTTCTTTGTTTTGAACTCGCCCCCTGTACTCCCGGAGTCTACGGGAGGCTATTCTAACAGATAACCTTCTCTGCACACACAATAATAGACAGTTTTAACTTGTCTGTACTTTATTGGCATGTTACAGATAAATTGTAAAACTATAACAAGAAAGATAATATGCAATCACTATACGATAAACATAACAAATAAAAAATAACACTCAGTATAGCTAAGATCCTCTTCTATACAATCCTAGCTACCTATAGCAGAGAAAAAGGGAAATGAATTACCTCCAATGCCGTCAGATGGAAAGAGATAGAGTTTGGTTGCTTCTCTCATGTAGAGAATCATGATTTCCTATGAGGCGGTTTACTTCCTGTAGTTCACTTCCTGTATTGTGGGAGAAGTGATGACCTTTACATCACATCCTGGCCTAGCTAAATAACACAGCTCTACATATACCGATGCTTAGCCAGTAGGTGACATAAGAGAACAGATAACTAATCTGTAAATAAAACATGACTACAAATCAAATGCAAAACAACATATAATTATTATACAGGTCAATTTTTATCTTGAAGTCCTCAGAAGGGAATGTATTCTGGGGACAGAACACTCTAGTTTGGACTATGTTTTGTCAAGTGTGTCTATGTACATGCATGCCTAGCACAGAGATATTAATCTGATTAATCTTGTTGCTGGCTTGAGAATTCCATGGAAAATAAAAAGACGGTGCTCAGTACTCCTCCTCTATTCCTTCACACAGTTTGGGGATCATCAGACCTTATTATTGTCACTGGCGTCTCTATAAATCAGCACCAGATTGTTTCAAAAACTGGTACTGGTACTAAGGCATTGGCTCCAAAAATTCAAGTGATACTTTACTTTTGAAGTTGACTATGTTAAGGGTCAGAGGCTAAGGGGTTAAATTTTAGGGTTACATTAAATTACAAATAAAGTTGGTTGTAAATATTAGGTAGTTGTAAAGGGTTACTTTTTAGCATCAGGTGTTAGGGACTTAATTGCAAGGCTATGGTTGAGGGCTGATTGTTAAGGTAGGTTAAGGGTTCATATTTATGGCTATGTTAAATGTCTTGTTTAGCTGGAGGAGGTTAAGCATCGGGGGTACACTTTAAGGGAAAGAGCAGCCTAATTGCTATTGTAATGATATCTAAGTGATAGGTAATAGTATGGGGCCAACATCAGCTAAACAATGTAGGATAGGATAGGATAGAACAAGACAATGTAGGATAGGATAAGGAAATGGAAGAACCCATCTCGGATTTACTTACCTGCCTACATAATTGTGAGATTTCCTCCAGGAAGTGGGGGTAAATATTTCTAGTGGGGACACAGCAAATGTAAAACCCCAACACAAGGTCTGACTCTTCCCTACTCATGTAGAACCTAAAAAAAGTTTGTCAGGAGTTTGCTGGGCTTAATAAAGAATATAAACTGTTTTCTCTGACTGCAGATCAGCTGGAAATACAAGGAGTCTCTTCCTGTGAACATGAAGATACTGCTCACTCAAACACCACTTGTTACTCTCGACGCCAATGTTGTGTTAGTTCAGATTTCCCCAGTTGTGGAGATGTTCGTGGTGACAGGTACCATGCGCAATCAACACCTAATGACTCTCAATGTGGTGAGTAGACACACCTTTGGCTACAATGGCCTCGGGAAGGCAGTTATATATTTGTTTTAGATATAATAATATGCGCCAATATTTTTTAACTTATGTGTATGGCCAATAAGAACCTACAGGGTTCATAATCCTGTATGCAAAACAAAACAAAATAAGTTTTGGCCTTAATTACTGGTTCCCGTGTCTTTATTAAACCAAAGATACATTTGTAAGGATTTATCAAGCAACACTTTTGAGCATTTACTTTTTCTTTGTTTGCACAGGGAGCCAATTTAATGGCCAAGTTGGATGTATCTAGAGGGAAGATCACAACATCAGTAGGACTGCAAGGGTAGGCCATTTGTTCTTCTAATTTTATTAACAGTACTGATTCCCAAATTCAGTTATTCATGGGTTTCTATTTTTCTTTTTCTATAGAGATCTTAAAATCACAATGGCTTCAAGCTCTTTTGGAAAGTGCAAGACAAGTGTAAGCTATTTAGTCATCTAGCTCACTTCAGAGTATTGCTAGACATGCCATTGAATGAAATATCACCCACAAGCTCATTTTTACCCTCATTAAAGCACATCTAAACCTTATGTGTTTAAAAAGCATTAGATGCTCCTTTACCAAGCATTAGTTTTAACCTGGCAATTTCTTGTATGAGGGTGAGAGCAGTGACAGTGGTGCCCAAACATCTCCCTAGGAAAGAACAGTTTTGTCACCTTCAGAATGCAGACCCCCCCGCACCCCCACTGGGTATGGGTAGATGACGTGCCAATGCACCATGGAGGAAATTAACAAACAGCATCTGAGATAAGTACTTAACTGATGCCTTTGCCTAAAGCAACCAATCAACTTATATCTTCCATTTTTTTTCTCCAAAGCTTGGAAAATTAAAATGTTAAAGCTGATTGGCTGTGCTCCAGTTGAAACAAAGTTTGTCTCAGACAACTTTTGTTTTTTCCTGTCAGTGTGTCAGTACATTATTACGCAGTGGGGTGTACCAAAAGATTTACTTGCTTCCTCAGTACTGCCCACCCTGCTGTGTTGGACAGGCTCCCTAGCAGTCTTTCAATTCTTTTCAAAAATGTACACAAGAGATACAAATTGATAATTAGGATTTTTTTTTTTTACTTTTTTTAAAAAAGTAAATCTATTTATACAAACCTACAGTACCTCCACTGTAGACAAGGTTTTGGAGCAGTGCCATGGACGTACTACAGGGTGTGAAATCTCATCAACTATGAGAATAGCTGGGGTGGGTGGATCATAGGAATGTTTACATTAAACCACATGTCTTTAAGCAAGTAAAACAGTTCCTAAATGTACTGCATGTATTGGAATTGATTTAATAAAGGTAAAGGTAAATAGGGTGTTCACATTGCAAGGGATTTTTCACTTTGTAAGAACGAAGTGAAGCTCTGCTAACTTCCATCATTCAATCATGTGCAAGTAGAAATACTGTTTTTTATATATTCCTTGGATCTGACTGAGTACTCTTTCAAAGTGAATTTTACTATATTCGCTAAACTCTGAGGAAAATTCTCTTGCCTTTCCACTTTATTTTTTTTTACTAAAATTTGAAGATAGCAGTCACAATCCAGCTTATTTTTTATATATTCAAAAAAATTTGGGATAATTTAAAATGCCTTTGAGCTTCCTTGAACTTTACCCTTAGCCAAATGGGGATCATAGAGTGAACCCTAAAATTGGAGGCACTGGTGCTAATACAATTTTAGACAATGCAGTTTGAGCAAACACAGGTAATTCTATGTCATATTGTAAGTTAGGTCAACCTGGAGAGCAGATAGAGTTCATTGTTTTTGTTCATTTGAATATTGCTCTATAAAGTTTAAAAAAAACTAATTGAAATGTTTAACACAACCATGAATTTATTGTTTCATTTACATCACCTTTTTCTGTTTCTCTGATAGCCATCAGTGCTGATGGGGTACATGCGTGACATCTTCAACAAGGCTTACCTGGTTCAGCTTAATGGTAAAAACACGTATTCATGAACTGTGTAATATATTAAGACAAAGACATCTAAAATCAATTTGGCCTCGGATCCAGACATTGAGTCCTAAAGTATGTGCTGCAATCAGTTGGTGGTCAACTATAAATGTTACAAATGTAAACTGAAAAAAAACTAGAAAAAATCAAATCAAATAAACTATTTATTAAACAATTAACTTTAGAAACCATAGTCCATATCCACATCACACTGCCCTTATTCAGGAGAAGTGACAATCTGTAAGGTCCTAGCTGGACCCCCCTTCCTTCATCAAAAAATGAAAATAGCATTCCAGATATGTTTGTCGAGGTTCTCACTTATCTAGGTCACTATATAGTTAGAAGTAGTTGCATTCAACTGGACGTGTTCTAAAAACATTGAATATTTTGTTATGTTTCATCACTTATTCAAATAGCTCCCTCAGAAAACTTTTTGGATGAGTGATGAAATGCCATCAAGTCCAATTTAGTGTATCTAACTAGGACTACTAGCAATGACATTTGATCTTGGATTCAAATTATGATTAGCTGCTAGTCTGAAGCGCCACTTGCTCTAGTCTGAAGTCTTTCAAATTTACTTGTTTTGATGAAGGGACATTTATTTTTTAATTTGACATTTTATAATGCTGCATACTTTGTGTGTGTGTGTGTGTGTATATATATATATATATATATATATATATATATATATATATATTTTTTTTTTTTTAAATGTACTGACTTGTGCCATTTTTACAGCTGACCTGAGTGTTGGAGTATCTTTACCATCATTGCCAAATGTTGACCTTATTCATGAAGTCATAGAAGTGAAAAAGGTAAGCAATGCATGTTAAAAGCTACTTCTAGTGTAAATATTCTTCTGCATCACCAGGAGGTTAGTAACATTTGTTGTGAGCTTAGTCCTTGTCTGGGGTGTGCTTACTCCTTGTCTGGGGTGTGTAGTTTTAGTTGAGATGACCAATCAGAACTTGACTTGGAGTTCATTCCTGGGATGCAACATTTTAGTAACTGATGATATTTGGCAAGCTCCCTCATTCTTGTTTCCATATCTCTTCCTCTCTTTGTGGAATGGGCAGCTAGATACAAGAGAAGACATTGATACAGAGCACACTGACTTATTTTCAGTACAATTAGGGCATGTTACAGCTTTTATTGCTGTAGTGACATAACTAATTTCAGAGATTAGGGCCTCATACACACTGGGTGTTAAGCTCTTGTGCATGAGACGCTGTGCTTTAGCTGCAGCTGGAAGGCACAGGCACACCTTCCAGCCCCACTGCCAGCAAAGATTCTTACAGCTGATATGGCTGGAGGGGCTGAGTGGTGCACCTAGCGGTACAGTATGTACTTTGATGGCAGTATGTGCCTAGAATCGAATGTCTGGAATGCAAGCCTGCGTTTCAGGTATTCGTTTCTGGGGGCATACTGCTCTAAATGAAAGAACCATTAACCTCCCTAGCGCTCTGATTATATCCATATTTCTGTGCTGTAAGCGGTACATTTTTTTGCATGGAAATATGTAGTTTTTTTATTGTAGGCCTGTAATTTTTAGGAATAACTCACTGAAGTCTGTCCGAACAAGAGTCTAGTAAACATCCCGGGTAGGATAAAATGTGAAACACGAAATCATAAATTATAATATAATAAACAATCATAAAAAATAATAATATAATAAGAAGAAATTTAATTCAATAATATAATCAAACCCAAAACACTGACATTTGAAATATAGCGCCAAGTTCCCACATTTCTAAGCCTAGTCGCAAAATTGTTTTCAGTGTCTGATGACAAATTTCCCCACGAATCATTATCACTCAATTCTGCATGTGGTTCTGATTTACTATCGCTGTATTCTAGCTAGTCTAAAACCGCTTTTGACCTAAAGGGATGCTTTTTGGACACCATGGACTTTTCTAAGTTTCCAAGCAGAAGAACAGTAAAAATGCAGGCAGGGCACAGGACAAAGCACTCGGGACAAAATGTATGTGAAATGGCTTGATACAGTAATGTTTTACTATGTGATTTTAGTGTATTAGTGAATGTCAGTTATTAAAATTTTCAAATTTCCCGCTGGTTCCGGCCCCTGTACGTCCCGTATGTCCCGACGCTCGCAGGGACCGGAACCCGGAAGACGGATGCCGGCATCGGCCGTAGGAAATGGCCAGGGACGCTGCAGGGGATACATCGCGGGAGCGCAGGACAAGGTAAGTGCTGCAGGGAATCCCTGAGCAACGCTGCGTGGTATTCCCGAGTGTAGCTTGGGGTTACCGCTTTTGGTACTGAAACTTTACCCTGAGCTACACTCGGGAATACTACCAGGGAGGTTAAATGAATCCAGCTGCAGCAGCTATCAGTATCTCTCCTGGCAGAGGTACTGAATGATGCACCCGTGCCCTCCAGTTGCAGTTAAACATTGGAGCCTCATGCCCTGGGACTGAATGCCCAGTGTGCATGAGGCCTAAGAGAATGAATTCTTGTTTAAAGAGGTTCCCTAATTTCTAAGTTTTAGGTGAGCCTGCACTATTGTCCTAGTCATTTGGTTGTACAACACAAAGATACACTATATTGCCAAAAGTATTGGGACGCCTGCCTTTACACACACGAACTTTAATGGCATCCCAGTCTTAGTCCGTAGGGTTTAATATTGAGTTGGCCCACCCTTTGCAGCTATAACAGCTTCAACTCCTCTGGGAAGGCCATCCACAAGGTTTAGGGGTGTCTATGGGAAAGTTTGACAATTCTTCCAGAAGAGCATTTGTGAGGTCAGGCAATGATGTCGGATGAGAAGGTCTGGCTTGCAGTCTCCACTCTAATTCATCCCAAAGGTGTTCTATCAGGTTGAGATCAGGACTCTGTGCAGACCAGTCAAGTCCCTCCACCCCAAACTCGCTCATCCATGTCTTTCTGGACCTTGCTTTGTGCACTGGTGCGCAGTCATGTAGGAACAGGAAGGGCCCATCCCCAAATTGTTCCCACAAAGTTGGGAGAATTAAATTGTCCAAAAATGTCTTGGTATGCTGATGCCTTAAGAGTTCCCTTCACTGGAACTAAGGGGCCAAGCCCAACCCCAGAAAAACAACCCCACACCATAATCCCCCCTCCACCAAAATTTACACTTGGCACAATGCAGTCAGGGAAATACCATTCTCCTGGAAATTGACAAAGCCAGACATGTCCATCGAATTTCCAGACAAAGAAACATGATTAATCACTCCAGAGAACAAGTTTCCACTGGTTTAAAGTCCAGTGGTGGCATGCTTTACACCACTGTTCCCGACACTTTGCATTGCACTTGATGATGTAAGTCTTGAATGCAGCTGCTTGACCATGGAAACCCATTCCATGAAGCTCTCTATGCACTATTGTTGCGCTAATCTGAAGGCCACATGAAGTTTGGAGGTCTTTAGCTATTGGCTCTGCATACATTTGGTGACTTGTGTGCATGTTCTGACTCTGCTCTGGTATTTTATATGGCTTACCACTTCGTGGCTGAGTTGCTGTTGTTACCAGTTGCTTCCACTTTGTTATAATGCCACTAACACCACTAACAGTTGACCGTGGAATATTTAGTAGCAAGGAAACTTCATGGATTGACTTATTGCACAGGTGGCAACCTATCCCGGTACCACACTTGAATTCACTGTGGTCCTGAGAGCGACCCATTCTTTCACAAATGTTTGTAGAATCAGTCTGCATGCCTAGGTGCTTGATTATATGCACCTGTGGTCATGGAGGTGTATGGAACACCTGAATCCAGTGATTTGGAGGGGTGTCCCAATACTTCTGGCAATATATTATACTTATATAGCATTAACTATCAAGGGATACATGTCTGGGTATACTGTATACATAAAAATATATGTCTTCAGGTAACAATAAAAATCAGGTGATCCATATTTATTGTCTCAAACATGCTTTTTCATAAGTTGTAGCTTATGTCCTGATCTTTGGTTACTAAAAGAGACGTATGCAGTTTTCTAAAGCTGGGCATGATACGTTCAAATATGGGGAAATTTGGGGCAGGATTTCAGATGATTAGAGGGTTAGTGTGTTATTTTTAAGTTTTGAAAGTTGTAGTAGTCTACTTCATAAAGATACACAGCGCCTCTAAGTGTGTACTGTGAAGGTATTTAATAGAAAGATCAGTAGTAACTCACATCTTAGAATTTAAAAACAGGCTCATGGGTAAGCGGGTGAGACTTCTATAGCCAGATGATGTTGTGTGTCTGATCCAGAGAGGAGATTGATTGAATCTGTCAGCAGGTGGTACTGTGCATGTGCAACATGGATGGTAAGCCTGGTGGAATCTCCAAGGTGTCTGCCAGCAGATGGTACTGTGCATATGCAGCATAGATGGTGGAGCCTGGCAGAGTCTCCAAGATGTCTGGGATCAGCACATGTGGCGTCTGACGTCAGACGCAACATGTGCTGTCTGATGTCAGACGCCACATGTGCTGATTCCACCAGGCTTACCATCCATGTTGCACATGCACAGCACCACCTGCTGACGGACTCAATTGATCTCCTCTTTGCACACTTTGCACACTGTACAGATAGTGAACTGATAAGTAGGACCTTTAGGACCTTTTCCTACCAATTCATTAACAAATAGGAAAATCAAATATTTGCCTGAAAGCTCTGGATCAGGAGACTATATTTTCTATTACTCGTCATCTCTACTTTCAAAATCACCCAAAATACTTGTATACTAATATTCTCTGAAAATCTTTGATTGCTTTCTGTGATGTTTTTTACAGGAATATGCAGTTGTGTCATTTGATCCCCAGTATGTCAAATAAAATCAAGATGTGAATTATTGCCACTGTTTATTCTATCAGAATAACGGAAGAAGAGCCTTACATCCATGAAAAGGACAATCAATAACCATTAATAGAAATAAAAAAATATTAAAGTCTTTAATTCTTTTTGAATAATTTCATTCTCGAGAACTGTTTTCAATATTCTTGCATAACACTACCTGCACTTGTTTTTTCCTCCTATTTAGATTTTGAAGTATCATGTCTTCGTAGGTACTAATTTACAATATGTGATACTGGTGTCCTGTGATGATCTTAGGGTTCAATAACTGGGCCAGGATCCCACACAGAGCTTTCTAAAGATTATGTTTATTAATAAGGAAGTGGAAAAAGAAGGCGACCACAGAGAACAATTTAGGTTTTGTTGATAAGCTTAGTAAAAGATAAAATATAAACTGGTTGATATGGGTTATTGCACTTTCTATCAGGCATTGTACATTGCACTCCTTATGAAATTAGCCATACGACTTTCAAATAAGGTCTGAAGCTTTCGCACATCATATGTATGTAATGAAGGTAAAGTACCCACAGGCAAGAGATGACTGTGCCAAATCTGATTATAGTGAGATTGTGAGATGAAACCTGTTGCTACATTTCAACATTCATAGACATTTTGGAAGATTGACCTCATCAGGATAATCAGTTCTCTAGTATGAAATTTACCAGATGACCACAAAATTCCCCTGAGATAAGGCCAGTATGTCAGCTGTGTTTGTTCCTAGCGTAGCCAAAATGACCATACATTACTGTGTCATTGTCAGTTTACAGAACTATTGTGAGGCAGTCAGTAGTTCCACTGCAAGCACAAAATCCATTAATACAGATTTCAGCATCAACATCCCATATTGAGGTGAAATTCTAATTTTATCTGAAAATTCTCTCATCTCATTTGTTTGGCAGTCAAAAGATTTGACTTATGTCTATCAGTAGCCATACAACTAAGGAAACACCAAGAACCTTGGCATTCTCAGGATTCCACCTCACTTTTGGAGACTAGGCTAGAGACAAAATAGGCCAATCACTTGGCAAGAAAAGTTGGACTTTGCAAGGGAATTTTCTCCCGGAGGTTTGTGAATGCAGTGAAGTTTCACTTTACAGAGAAACACCCAATCATGTGCACAGGAAAATTAGAAAAAAAGCTTTCCTTTTGCTTGCACATAATTAGATGATAGAAGTGAGCAGACCTTAATCTCCTTCACTAAGCTCTGCCTTTAGTAAATCAACCCATTGGTTTATGAATGTCCACAATATTTCTTCAACCCCAGAAGGAGGAATGGAAGCCTTTTTTCTATAACAGTGGGTATTATATAAAAAAAAATAACAATTGTGCAAAGAAGATGATTTCTGATTAATAGCATATTATTGTGTTTTGGTTTTTCCCCTATTTAATTGAAAACGTACTAAAGAGAACCAGCCACAAATGGGCTTATGAAATAGAATGAATAATCATTAGACTAAACGCTAGTCAGCACTAAAAAAATGAGTATGTAGCCCACCTCCACACACACACGCCTCACAAAGCACAGTGCTAATGTATTCCTACTTATTCTACACCCTTTATATTTTCTTTATGATTCTTAGGTCCATGACACATTAGTAATTCAACAGATACATCAACCATCACTGCTCCCATAGTAGTGAACAAGATTCTGCATATTTCAGCCAACAAAGCAGAGGCTTCCATTAAGTAAAATATCAGCTGAGTGCTGGAGATTGTGTTTATGGCCAAGTGTCACCAGCAAAAGGACTGGTCTTATGGCCTATGCCAACAGGCTTTGATGGGTAAATGCAGCCTACTTGTAACATCAGTTTAGGTTACTCCTGAGATTGTTTCAAATTCAGTGCAGGTGCATTTGGCCTACTTCAGTTCGTTTGCATTCAAGGGGATTCATTCAAGGGATTCAAATAATATATGCTCTTTATTCAAAGTAAAATCATACAAAGGAATACAGTCACAGCACCTCCCCCTTCTAAAACATAACAAAATGATTACACCAATTAACCACTTCCTGACTGCCCTATAGCAGAAATACTGCTACAGGGCAGCACGGGTGCGCAGAATCATGTATATATATTTATATGATTTTGCATATCCTGGGTAGGGGGTGCGTGCGAGGCGCACGCACGCCCTACCTGTGCCATCATTCATGGCTGCGGCTGTCAATCACCAGGTCCCGGCCAGTGATTACCTGCCGACACCCGATGATTACCGACAATCATCGACGGAGAGGAGGGCTGCTTTATTTACCAACAGCCTTCCTCCCTGTCAGCTCGGGCACAATGTTCTGGATGGCTGTGCACAGCACAACCATCCAGAGCTGTATGCACAGTGAACCACCAACACACCCCCTATTAAAACACTCCCTGCACACAGTTAACCCTTTGATTGCCCCTTGTGTTAACCCCTTCCTGCCCAGTGCCATTAGTACAGTGTTAGTGATTTTTTTTTAGCACTGATCACTGTATTGGTTTCACTGGGGATGTCAGTGACACTAAGTCAGTTTCCTCCAGTGTCAGAATTTATGGGGCATGCAATGGCAACAAAGCATGTCATGTTTGGTTTCTATTTACTCGGCATACCATCATCTTTTATATTTTACCAAATAATTGGTCAATATATTGTGCTTTTGTGCATTAAAAGTGAAAAAAAAAGTGAATTTTTTTTTTTAAATTGCGTTTGAAAAATCGCTGCGCGAGTACTATGTGACATAAAAAATTGAAGTATCCACCATTTTATTCACTAGGGTGTCTGCTTTAAAAAATATATAATGTTTTGGGGTTCAAAGAAATTTCCTAGCACAAAATACTGATTTTTGTCATGTGAACAAAAAGTGTCAGAAACGGCTTGGTCTTCAGGTGGTTAGAAGAGTGAATGTGTGGCATAAACTTCTAATGCTGGGCATACAATGCCCCCACCCCTCAAAACGACCCCTTTTTGTAAATTAGACACCCTAAACTATTTGCTGAGAGCTATGTTGAGTCAATAGAAGAATTTATTTTTTTTACCACAAGTTTCTGGAAAAAGGCAAAAAAAAATGTATTAACACAAAATTGTCAATTAAATGATTTATTGCTCACACATGCCATGGGTATATGTGGAATTACTCCCCAAAATACAGTCTGCTACTTCTCCCGAGTATGGGGATATCACATGTGAGAGACTTTTTGGCAGACTAGTCAAGTACAGGACCCCAAAATCCAAGCACCTTCAGGCTTTTAAAGGGCTTTATTTCCTCATTACATTTCCTGACTACATATCACAGTTTGGGAGGCCCTGAAATGCCAGGATAGCACCCCCCCCAATCCCCCACTTCCCCCAAATGACCCCTTTTTGGAAAGTAGACACCCAAGGAATTTGATAAGAAGCATGGTGAGTATTTTGCAGATCTTGTTTGTTGCCACAAGTTTTTGGAAAATGAAGAAAGAAAACAAAAACATATTTTTTTTTTCTTTTTTTATATTTCGAAACCTTGTGAGGAAAAATGAGATCTGCAAAATACTCACCATGCCTCTTTTTAAATTCCTTGAGGTGTTTCAGGACCTTCAAAACTGTTATAGGTAGTGAGGAAATGAAATGAGAAAGTAACGCACCTTCAGGCTTTCAAAATGGTCATTGGATTTCAGGCTCCTGTATGTGGCTAGGCTCCCAAAAAGTCTCACACATGTTGTTTCCTCATACTCGGTAGAAGTAGCAGAATGTATTTTGGGGTGTAATTCCACATATATCCATGGCTTAAATATCATTTAAGTGTAAAAAAATAAAATGTTTTTGTCATTTTCCAAAAACTTGTGGAAAAGAAATAAACCTTCCATGGACTCAATATGCCTCTCAGCAGATAGCTTAGGGTGTCTACTTTCTGAAAAGGGTCATTTGGGAGTATTTGTACTGTCCTGGTATTTTAGCACTTGAAGAAATGTGATGAGCAGTCAGAAAGTAAAAGCTGTGTAAATTCCATTATCTATACCATAGTTTGCAGATGCTATAACTTTCACACAAAGCAATCAATATACAGTGTTCCCTCGCCACTTCGCGCTTCATGTTTTGCGGCTTCAGTGCTTCGCGGGTCAGCAGCCACATTGTGGAAAGGAGCATTGTTTCATGTTGATGCGCGAGAGAGAAGGATCCCTGCATGTTAACCAAAGAGATGAGTTGACTCAGAGTACTGTACATACCACGGGCTTTCATAAAGGCGCGTGATTGGTTTCCAGTGTGACATCGACCAATAAGAGTACGAGTGGATTTATCCCTGTGAGTTGATTGTCTGCGCATCATTGCAGCCTCACCTAGCATCTTTTCTTGTTGTATCTCGCCAGTCTTGTCCATGATGTAATTAGTAATTATAATTGTAATTAGCACTGGCACGTTTAAGTAAATATGTATACAGTACTGTTGTAATTTTTGTCTTAAATGAGTAAAGTATGAATACTGTTTACATATTTAAAACATTCTTGTACAGTACCCGCATACACAAAAATTCCTGGGGGCAAATACTACTTTGCGTTTTTTCAGCTTTCGCGGAAGGTTCTGGTCCCCATTAACAGCGAAAAACGAGGGATCACTGTACACTTATTGGGATTGTTGTTACCAAAAACATGTAGCAGAATACATTTTGGCTTAAATGTATGACAAAATTTAAGTTTTTTGGACATTTTTTATGACAGAAATGAGAAAATATCGTTTTTAATAAGCCCAGTACACACTAGAAGTTTTTCTTTTTTTTGCCTTCAACCCAGGGGCATGAATAAAAAAAAACAAAGGGGAATGCCGTATTAACTGATGTGATGTTAGTGTGGTGATATCCTCCTCTGTATTTTTGCTTTCTAATAAGAGGACCCCTCCCTCCCCTCCAGAACCCACAGATCAGCACTCGCAGCCATTGCCTGCCAATGCTGATCAGATGTGGGTCCGATTCTGGTTGTCCAGCATGCCTGTGCGACAGAAGCCAGTCGTGATACCAGCTTTTGTAGAACAGACAGCTGTA